CTGCAGTGACAGGACAAGGAATTATAAGGAGAAATTGAAAAGGGGACATTTAGATATGATATTAGGAACAGGTCTTTCCTGTGAGGGTGGTGAGACACTGGCACAGGTTGCCCAGGGAGGCTGTGGCTGCCTCAGCCCTGGCAGTGTTCAGAGCCAGGTTGGCTAAAACCTTGAGCAACCTGGTGTGGTGGAAGGTGTCCCTGCCCAGGGCAGGGGATTAGGACTGGATGATCTCTAAGCTCCATTCCAACCCCTTAACATACTGTGATTTGTGTGTGGGTTGGGGTTTTGGGAGGATTTGAGTTACTTTTATTGCTCCACTGCTTGATGCAGTGGCTTTCCTGACACAGTGGCTCTTCTCATTGCAGGGAGGTGAGGTTTGCACCAGGCATGGCATGGAGCCATGGATGGCATGGAGAGATGATCCCTGGGAAAGTCTGTCCATGTTCATCCTTGCAACATGAGTCTTTCCAGCTTAGAATTGTCCTCATGCCCATCCCACTCTGCCCCTTCCCTCCTTAAACAATTCGCTTTTTCCAGCCTCCTGGTTTACCCTGGGCTGAAGGGTGATCCATGGTGTTGAGCAGGAACAACCAGGAGGGACCTTTTGACAGCAATCTGATGGAGACTGGACAATCCCTGGAGCTCTGGCAGCAGATTTCCACCCACTTTACTAAGAAAGGATAAAACTCCCCAACCTCTTAGATAAAAATGATCTCATTTTAGCTCAGAACAGGGAGGAGGGGCAAAGAAGAGACATTTTAGGGAGGGGAAAACAATCTGAGCTAGTCCAACATGTGGCAGATGATTTATGGTGTATTAAAAGGATGGGGAGGAAATAACTCATTGATGAAAGTGACTTCATCAGTGAGTGTTCACATATGTCTTCCTGATGGGGCTCAGGGACCCAGGAAAGAGTTGGCTCTACTTTTAGGGCTCCTGGGCTATGTTTTGGGGGTTCCTGAGCATTGTAGTGCCCTCCCACAGCCTGTCCTGTGGGCTGAAGTGGGAGGGAATAGCCTGGGAATGCATCCACCCATTGTGATACTACCCATAAGAGGTTTGCAGCTTTCCCCTCACCTCAGGGTCACGTGGGGAGGAGGAAAAGAGAGAATTGGGGAATTTCATGTTTCTTGGAGTTGTTTTATCACTGTGACCATCTCTGTATTGCAGGACATGACCTACCTGTGTATCTCAGCCTCAGATTCATCCAGTCAAAACCTGTAAGTTTTCCTTTTCTCTCACAGCATCAAGTGTCGGTAGTTTTTGGTCAATAGAACTTCAGATTCTGCAGAGTGAAGGTTCAGTCCATTCATGCTGGGAAATTCCATATCATTCCTGAGCTGGACAGAATTTGAGGTCCATTCTCAGGTGGTAAATAGGGCTTAAAATCCATTTCTGTGTGTGTTTGCAGACAGTAAATTCAGTTTTCCATTAAACTTCAGAGTTATACTGCCAGAAAGGTTGGAATTTGGAGCATGAGAAAGACAAGGATTTGTGTTGGTGTTTTCTTTGGAAGGAGAAATGAAGTATTGATTAGAATGAATATTTTTTCACTAAACAAAGTACAGATACTCGTAAGTCTTGCAATGTTTTTGAGCTGAAGCTGGTCAGAGGTGCTGAAGCCCCTGGATTTCATGGGATGCTGATGCCAGGGAGGAATCATCATCTTGCTGCCACTTTGGGTGACAGCCACCCATAAATCATCCATTTCCCCAACAACTGGACAACTCCAGGGGACTTATCTCTCCAATCAAACCCTAAAAAGCACCAAAACACATCACAGAGTGACCAGGCTGATCCCTGGTTGTGGAAGTGCTGCTTTTCCAGCATCCCTAGGAGCAGCCCTGCCCTGGGGGTTGGATTCTGCTTGCTCATGCTCCTGCTGAGCGGAAAGAGAAGCTTGAGAAGAAAACTCTGTCTCAGCAAGAACTTGGGTTTTTTTGGTTGTTATTTTTTTTTCTCTTCTCTCAGTTCTTTGCATTTGTGGCATGTCTAGAAAAGGCAAAAAAAGGGGGGAGAAAAAAAGCATCTAAGGCTGAGTGCAGGAAGGAAGAGTTATTCAAGGAACTATTTTCTGCTTGTCAGTTTATGCCTTGGATTTCACAATCTTGGTGAACTTTGTATCCTGCAGAGGAGCTGCTTTGTGACTCAGGACCTCAGTGGCTCTCAGGATTCCCATTCCATGTTCCTAGCCCATGCTTTGAGGCTGGAAAAGCACAGGGAGAGCTTTCCTCTGGCTTCTTGCCTGGGTGAAAACACCCCATGGAGTGAAGGAGGATGGACGGGGTGGCTGAAGTGCTCATCACACTCCCTCTGGGATGGGTTGGAAGAGGTATGCTGTGTGCATGGAGCAGGATGGAGGCATGAGCATCATGTCTGTGCAACCAAGGTGCATCCTGGTCCCACCAAGGACCTGCATCCTGGTCCTACCAAGAAGCATCCTGGTCCTACCAAGCATCTTCATTCTGGTCCTACCAAGGACCTGAATCCTGGTCCTGCCAAGGACCTTCATCTTGGTCCTAGGAAGGTGCTGAAGAACATGTTGCCCAGGGAGGCTGTGGCTGCCTTAACCCTGGCAGTGTTCAAAGCTAGGTTGGCTAAAGCCTTGAGCAATGTAGTGTGGTGGGAGATGTCCCTGCCCAGGGCAGAGGGTTAGGACTAGATGATCTCTAAGGTCTGTTCCAAACTCTAAAATTCTATGATTCTGTGAAAAGGACTGGGGTCTGGAAAGCTTGGAGTTGTGGGGGCAGTACCTGCAGGCCCTGGGAGATGATGTCTACTCTGTGAAGATAAATAGGATGAAGTGAAATGCTCTGGGACAAGCTTTAGGCAGGGAAAGACCACCCAAATGTTTATGCTCTGTTTGCTATGGTGGTGGAAGATGAAGACCATGAGGAACAATGGACTGACATCTCCTTCCAGGGTTGAGAGGCTCAGTATTTTTAGCATGATCACAGTGTCAGATACTTTCCTGTCTCACCTTTTCCTGGACAGAAGAAATCTTTGCTATTCCTGAATCAATTCATCCTTGTTTATAGCATCATATAATCATCAAGGTTGGAAGAGACCTCTAAGATCATCAAGTCCAACCATTAACCTGTCACTGCTGTAACCCCTAAACCATATTCTCCAGAACCACGTCCAGACACCTCTCAAACATTTCCAGAGATCGTGACTCCATCACCTCCCTGGGCAATATTCCAGTTTCTGACCAGCTTGCCTGGTTGGTTTCTTAGAAGGTGCTGAGCCCAGCGCTTCCAGGGTAGGGAGAAGAGCATCCCTTTTCATGGGCTAGAAAGGATGGAGGAGGTTTTGGAATGTTCTGCCTTGTCCCTGCAGGGGAGCCAGCTCCCTTGGCAAGGGCTGTGGGGGGAATAACTCTGCAGTAGCTCATGTCTTGGCTTCTGAGAAATCAGGAAGGCTGTGTCATGCAGAGGCAGAGGAAGTCTGACGCCGGGGCAGAGGTGCTGCTGACTCCCTGCCAAAGGGATCCTCTTCTCCTGGAAAACCTAAGGCTGTGTGGTCAGGGAGTCCACCAGCATCAAAACTGACCCAAAATTAGGTTTTCTGCCTCAAAACTGCCCCAGGGCTCAGCATGACTGTGAGGGTGAGTAGGGATGGGCAGTGTGTATTGGAAGCACATTCCAAGGGGAGGAATATTTGGCTCAGAGTGGGATCTTGGAGGCACAGCAGCTTCCAGCATCATATCTAGTGAAGAGAACAAGGGATGTGTCTCACCAGGGCTTTTGTAATCCTCCCACAAACACTCACTTTTATCCCATCAGTACATATGGAGTTAGTTATCCTGTTGCCTAGGTCTCCATCTGGAAACTCTGGCTCCAACCTGGTTGGAGTGGTTTGGGCACTGGTTTGGGTGAATGTGCTCCGTCTGCCTTGCCAGCAGTTACTGGTTATCTCTTTGAGAATGCAGGCAGCAACCCATGGGCATGCCCATGCTGTTGCTGGCAGCCCTTTCTCCCTGGCACAGGCATCTGCCTGTGGGTGGGAAGGGGAGCTCCAGGCAAAATGGCTCAGGAGACACCTTCTCCCTGCTTTGTTCCCCACTGGCATCTTTCTCTTAGAGGGAACCAGGAGGTTTGGGCATTGTCTGGGGATTAGGGGTGAGCCAATGGCTCAGGAAAACAGCTGATGTGGGTAAGTGCATGTTCCTTGGGCACAGGATGACAATTTCCCCTGGAGCTTGTCCCCCTGGGGTCCATTCTGAGGTGGCTTGGCTGATGACATCACCCTATTTCTGCTTCCTTGGAAAATCTCCCAGGTAATTTTCTCCCAGAAGATGAAGATCACGCGATCTGCCTTCACCTGGCAGAGGAAAAATCTCTACTCTTACCCCACATCAGTGGTTCCAGGGTGGTAGGAAGCCCTTGGTGGGGACATAACCTCTGCTGCCAGGGTGTCCTAGTGCCTCACAGGGGTGGGCAGCCCTCTCCTCCTTCCCTCCTGCCTAGAATCACCAAGTCTGGAAGAGGCCTTTGAGACCATCAAGCCCAACCTGCCTCTCTCCTTGCAGGCTGCAGCATTTTAAGGAGAGCATCAAGTTCATCCATGAATGCCGACTCAGAGGGGGAGGCTGCCTTGTCCACTGGTGAGAGCTGCTGCAACCTCCTCATGTCCTGTCAGTCCTCTGGGAGGTGGGGATGGGCTCCCAAAAAGTGTCCTCGATGTCAAACATCACTTGTGGTGGGGAGGAAGGAGAGAAGACAAGGAACAGTGGGAAGGCGACGGGAAGGTGTCCACTGCAGGGTCCACAGGGTTGGGTGGTCCATGCACTGACAACCTGAGCATCCAAAGAGGTGAGACAGGTTTAGAGCCACCAGCACTAGAGCACCAGTGTCTCTTTGTTCATACAACTCCTCACCCCTTCCCAACCCATGGCTGGGGAAGCCCAGTAGCAACCCAGAAAGACAGGATGCCCAGGGGAAGCTGCATCCCATGGGTAGGGACAATGAACTTTAAGGAAACCCAACATAAGGACATGGAATTGTTGGAGCAAGTCCAGAGGAGGCCAGGAAGCTGAGAAGAGGACTGGAGCATCTCCCCTATGAAGACAGGCTGAGAGAGTTGGGGCTGTTCAGTCTGGAGAAGACAAGGTTGTATGGAGACCTCAGAGCAGCCTGCCAGGAAGGTTGCAGGGAAGCTGCAGAGGGACTCCTTGTTAGGAGCCGCAGTTACAGGACAAGGAGCAATGGGGAGAAATTGAAAGAAGGAAATTTAGAGTAGATAATAGGAAGTTGTTTTCCTGTGAGGGTGGCGAGACACTGTCACAGGTTGCTCAGGGAGGCTGTGGCTGCCCCAACCCTGGCAGTGTTCAAAGCCAGATTGGATAAAGCCTTGAGCAACCTGGTGTGGTGGGAGGTGCCCCTGCCCAGGGCAGGGGGTTGGGACTGGATGATCTCTAACCTCCATTCCAACCCCTTAATCTATGACTCTGTGGGTGTCTTACCAACCCCCGTGGTAGGAATACTTCTCCCTGACACTGTTCCCTCTGTCCACGGCAGCCTGGCCGGGGTGTCCCGCAGCAGCACCCTGCTGGTGGCTTACCTGATGACAGTGACTGAGCTGGGCTGGCAGGATTGCCTGGCTGCCACCAGGGCCGTGCGCTCCTTCGCCAACCCCAACTGTGGCTTCCAGCAGCAGCTGCAGGACTATGAGAGGACCTTCCTGCAGGAGGTATGTCCCACCCTGATGTGCCTTTAGAGGAGCTGGCAAGCAGGTCTGGCCCTTTAGCATACATCTCTGTGCCCAGCCAGCTGTTTGCCCCAGCTGGATTTTGTGGAGGTTATTTAATCCCTGCGGATTTTGGGGTTTGCATGCAAAACCCAAGACAATCAAGTAGAAGTGCCTGGATGGTATGTGAGTGCACTTCGAAAGTTCTTTCTAACACTGAAACCACAGTTATTTCCTTGAGAGTTCAGTTAGGACAGACTGGGAGGGATGGGGAGAAGTTTGCCCCCTGGGAAACTTGGGAAGGAGCTGGGCTGATTTCTGGGAATGCAGGAGGCAGGAATAGGGAGAGGGGAGGGGAAGGGGAGGGAAGGGGAGAGGGGAAGGGGAG